ACAGGTTAGTTGCCGCCTACTATCACTGATGATCTTCGTCATTGTGATCGACTGGACTGGATCATGCAACAAACAAGTGTGAGGAGCGAGGAGATGGGGATACGCTGTTTGACCGATGAAAAGACCCCAGAAGAAGACTTGGATTTCGTCCATGATGATGATTAATGTCCAATGTCTCGTCGCAATACTCGAAGATCTGCAGGTGAAAACTGACAGGTTGAGGGAAGAGGCGAGACAGTGAGGACGGGACTTCCTTCAGGTGAACGTGGAGGAGACAGAGGTGACGAAGATACTCAACCAGCAACAACGGCAACAACAGCAATATCAAGCACCAATCACCATCAACGGGAGAAACCATAAGGAAGTTGTCTCTTTCACCTACCTACCTAGGCAACATCCTTTCTACTACATGTGGTGGCTGCACAGATGAGGATGTCAAAGCCAGCCAGGATCAGAAAGACAGCAAGACAGGACTTCCTGCATTAATCTGAAATCAGTGTGGAGATCTACTGCACTGCACTGCATTGCACTCAGTTGAATGCGTGGAAATCATCCGGATTTTCAACACCAATATCTGTCAAGTCAGTGCTTCCATGTGACAGATGGTTGAGGGACTTTGTGCTTCACGAAGAGCATTTCGAACAAACTACAAACATCGTACATGAACAGCTGCCGCCTACACTCACTCGATACTGAAACTGAAGATCAGATGAGATGGGCAGAATAATAAGAATAAGCAACACAGAACTCTGGCTGGCTGACTGGCAACAAAGGAAGCAGGAACCTATCACCCAAGGATTATGCAGAAGGAAGTGGAGATGAATTGGGCATGCACTGAGGATACCTATTTGGGACATCACTTGCCAGGCCAGGCTGTCGAGTGGAACGTACATGGGAAACGATGGGTTGGGTGTCCGAGGGTGACATGGAGATGGTGTGAGTATGAGATGTATGCTTGTGCGCAGTGCTGTAGCCAAGTTGCGAAGACTGGAGATAACTGGGTAGAATGGAAATGTGCCCTATGTTCCACTAGGAACCCAAGGGACAAATGCGATATTTATAATATTTTACCAATTATCCGTTGGTGGTCGAGTACTTCACATTTCCTTACTTCTATAAATTCAAAGTGACATATTCATTGGTCAAGTGCTCAATAATCGCCAATTAATATTTCTTACTCAGTTTTCGCCAGTGTTCATCAACAGAACTTATAGTTTTATGTGTTAAGAGTCAATCAGTTTGAAGTACTCAGTTTAGTGTTTTGTGCTTGTTGGCACTCATTTGTGAATTTTGTTTAGAACCATGAGAAAGTTTTTGTTGCTTTTATAATTCAAACCTGTGTTATTCAATTCTAATATCAGAGAGCTTAACAATAAACTATTCACACCTTGACTGACCCCCTATAGAACTGGATCAAGTATACGAATTAGTCATCAATGGTCAACTGATATAGCTGTCTAATCTTAGGTGCTCATCGCTGACTAAAGACTATCCGTCAAGTTTACGATAAGGTTTAATCAACGGTGAGGTCTGAGGACTAGACATATACGGTGGTTAATACTACACGTAAGATGATAAAATAACTTGAGCCGTGCTGTTAGGCTTCCATATGTGCTTAACATTCACTTAGGATTTTATGATGAAATTTATGAACAAACAGATAGTGAGCCGGTAGGATAGCTTCTTGAATACTCTTTCAGTAGTCAATCGACTTGATACTTCCCAAAGATGTAGACTTGACACCACCTTTTTTCTTGAAAATGACAAGTTGAAGCTGAAAGATGCCTTCTTCTGACCTTCACTAATCACCACTTTTCAATCAGGTTTACCTAAGGAGTTGATGAAAACTTCACATTCCACTTTACTGATTCCCTAGGAAGCTGACCAAGCTCCAAAGCTGGCTACCTGTACACAAGACGAGCAACTTCATATATTCTATTCTCTTGGTAACTCGAAAGTCCTATACTGATTTCAATCAGTACTAAGCAATATATAGAATAGCTTACTGGTAACGTCTGTGACTGCAGTACTGAGAGGCTCGGGTTCGAACCCCAGGCGGGACATCAATTCGATTTGGTGAGTGCCAAAAAACATGAAACCCAGGTCAAGAAGGAGTTCTTGTTGATTTCCTCCATCTAACCAACAAATAGAAACAATTTGTATAAATCAGCCTAAGAATTATCATCCTTCTAACCTAGAGTACCAGGATAGACACGGGGTACGAATTGACTACGGAAAGACAACACTGACTACTTCGGAAAATCCTTTTACCAAGTTTTGAGAATCTTCAATGATATTCCCATTGATATTTGCTGTTAATGCCTACAGTATATTTTGAGGAGAACATAGTATGCTATGAGTTTTCGGGGTATATTTTACATGCTATCAGTTTACTAAGCAGGTCGTCAAGGACAAGCTGGTGCATCAAGCTTCATAAGTGTGGTTTGACAGATTTATTTGCTCTTTTGGAGCTGAATACTCTTATCGTAACATGCACTGCTTCGACGAACCTGTTCGTAAGGTCTACATAGCCATGTTGTTAGAAGAACAGCTTACTACTGTCTTTGGACATATGACTGAACATCTAATTGACTTAAGATTTTTAACAACTCTTGAAGACTAGTTGAAAACGCTATACAAAGTGAACCAGGTTATGAAGATGAATTTGTGAAAAAGTTCATTATTTATAATTCAGTCTCCTTTTTGCTTGAGCCATCCTTTCCTATTCTTTTTTAATGAAGCATAATGAGGGATGGAAAAAATGAAAATCAAAAGTAAACACAAAAACTGAAAAACTTGATTTATGCTAAAAACAATCAAATCATTATTTGGTGGGACAAACATCTGAGGAGGCCAAACTAAACACAAGAAAATTATCTTTAAGGTAGTTTTCATCACGGACTGATATCATTCGAAGAGCTGTTGAAAACCTGAGAGCACTGAGGAGCTGTTTCGTCCTAGTATGGGACTCCTCAGCAGTATGTGCCCACGATCCCACCAGGGGTCGAACTCAGAGCCTTCATGTTCCGCGGTGAATACTTCAACCATTCTGTCACTTGGTCGGAGCACTACGGTTCACAGCTTCTCACTTCTGTCAATTCGCGAAATAGAGCGACATCCACCAAGATCTGCAGTTGGCATCTACTTCACTTCTGACTGGTTGACCACACAGGTCGCGGTTTCTCATTAAAACTTCGGGTTATCCATCTCGTAATATGTCCCTGGTGAACACTGTGTGCTGCTGAGTCCCATACTGTAGTGATCCTAAGTTCGCAGGGTTTTCTAAATGATGTCAATCCGTGATAAAATATTACCTTAAAAACGAAATCTCCATAAACCTCAAACTACATTCCTATTTATCTCAACTATGAATGAAGTGAATTACTTCTTTATACAGAAATAAGAACTTATCTAATAGACGAAATGAAAGTAGGGATCTTGAACAAACATTATCGGTCATATTGTTGTATTTATTTTAAAATACATTTTAATTAAGACTTATTCTATCAAATTATTGTCTAGCTCAACTCAGCAGCTTTTATTGACTCCTATCTCGATTCCACACTACTCATGGTTGTGGAGTAATCGCCTGTTAAGAGAAGTGGATCGCTGTGTATCGTGGTGCTTAGCTAATTCAGTCGTTTATATTTATGACTCAGATGGCATAGAATACGAGGCTAGGAAGCCGTTAATCCTTCTCTCCTTTTGTACAATAGGAAGGGAAGAAAGATTGATAGTTAAAGGTTGTGAATACTAGCTCATCATAGATCCAGTTCAATGGATAACTCATCCGCGTGGTGAAGTGTAGACAAGCACAGAGATATGTAGACAGTGATTCGTGCGAAATCATCTGATGGTTCCATAGTTAGGCATTTGACCCCAGTAGCCTTGTAGATTACCCCTTGGCATTTGAAGCGATGGGTACTGGGTTAGAGTCTCAGTGGGAACAGCACAACTCAGCGGAGTGCAGGTATATCCAGCTAGCAGTCCCAAATTGGGACGAAACGTGCATCCTGGACTCCACTGCTAGCTATCATATGGCATTTGGAACTTCAAACACATGACACCAATAGATATCAGTTTATTTATCATTATAACAATGCCCAGTTTCTTCAGTAGAATTCAGATTTTATTCCCACTGAGATTTGATCCCAATACCCAAATGATATAAACAATATTTTTAGTTTTAGCCAGAAATACTTTCTACTTTTAGCATTCGTTTTTCCCTACCTTTTAATCATAAGCTTGTAAAGAGTAGTGAATTACTGTTTTACTTTTTTCGATGCGCTATTCCAATCACTATTCTTGACTTAGCTCATAAAATTAGCTGTTTACTGTCATATGAAGAGAAAATTTCATTACCTTACACTTAGAAGCGATTCGCAGTTGCCAGTGTTGCAAATTATTATACCAAAGAAACCAGTCAGCTTATAAAACATACGTTCGATTGGATTCGGTCAGACCTTCATTCTTCCTGACAGACCTCTTGATTGTAATATATAATCAGAATAAATTCACCCCTCATTCACTTATGAATAACAAGTCATATATGTTAACTACAGATAAAGTGATTGGTCTATAACAAATTAGGCGAGTCAAAACAAGTTTCTAAGTTTCTAATTGGTTATCGCTTTTCACTCTAAACCAATAACAATAAGAGAAATAGAGACTAACAGCCTACTTAGTTAGATTGGTTACTGTCATCACCCCTTTACTTATATTTTTTTCTCTGCTAAGACCCATAGGCAGGCAGGAAGGTATGAGAAACTAAGAAAGTATGAAAATAACGGTCTGAAAAAGGAAAGTATCCACCTAAAATACTCAATACCTGATCTAGATTTGGGGCATCCCAGTTTACGGATCCATTCTTTAACGATTAATTTATAGAAAGTGTTTTTCTTGACAAAGAATCATATTTTAAAATTTCAGTTTTAATACATAATATTATTATATGTTCACTGTGGATTTGAACAAAGTGAAGGGAACTCATTAATTAAGGAATGGAACTTGGGACTATTGGTCCACTCACATTAGATTCAGCATCAAATTGTTCTGATCTTCATATAGGTCAACGAGATTATCAGCCATCTACTGTTATACAAAAAGCCAACATAAATTCAACAGTCTGTGAATTCTATAATCAATCAGTAACAGAACATTTAGAAATACTTCATATGAATATTGATAAAAATAATAATGATAATGGTAATTCATTTAGTAAAATCAAATACAATAACTACATATCACCAACATATATCCCTTGTACATTGAATAATAAACATTCAATTGATCCAATAGTGATAACGAAATCATCATCAGCTGGATTGTTATCAAATGATAGATTAACAGAGTTAATATCTACCAGTCATAATACATCTACAGGAGTCCAAACTAATAATTGTGTTCTAAGTAAAGAAATATCATTGAACACAACTAATGACATAACATCAACTGTACTAATCAATAAATCGATTTCAAAAATAAATGAATCCATGTACTATAATCAACATATATCTATGAATAAACAATTATTGGATGAAAATAAAAGTCTTACAAGATGTACCGTTATAGATCCTTCAATGACTATGGCAACAACAACAACAATGATGACATCAGTACATTCAATGAATATCGCATCGTCAACATCAAGAGTATTGGTAAGTGCAACGAGGACGACAACAACAACAACAGCAACAGTAACAACTTCTACAATGTCGAGTGTATTACAACAGTCAACTATGAAACCGACTAGTAGAACACCATCTCCACCAATGTTAACAGCGAATAAACAATATTTATCATCTGAAATGGAATTTTCTAAATTTTCCAGTTTATTATCATCTTATTCATCATCTTTATCATCACTGAATAACTTAAATCAAAGGGAGAATAATGATATGGTTGTTAGTTGTCATGATACTATGAATACTGGTATTACTCCATGTCTATCATCTTCTCAATGTAAATCAGAATTATACATACCTTTATCAATAAATGATTCTATAATAACTAGCAAATCATCAACCTCAGTTCCACCGTTTACATCCTCCTCTTCGTTATCGTTATCATCACCGTTGCATCAATTGAACCAATTGATAAATGCAAATGACTCTCCGCGTTCAATACCAGACAGATATTTCAATAAACTGACAAGTATACCTGTAACCACAGTAACTGTAGCGGAAGGAATGACTACAACGACTTCATTAGGCCTTTCAGTACCTTCTATACCGTTAAATACTTCATCTGTAGTCAATATAAAATCTTCTTCACCACAGACCTCACCTTTGTTGACTATGTCATCATCGGCATCATCGTCATCATCATCACTGTCGTTGTCATCGTCATCAATATTAGGTTATGCCAATCCTGAAGTGAATAATACTAATATTAATAATGGTAATAATAATAATAACAATAATAATGGTAACTCATACGGACTGGATCAATTTAATAATCTAAGTCATCTACAAAATGCTCATTTACTAACAGATCTAGAAAATTCTAAATTTTCAATTCAGTCCCATCTAGAGCAATTTCCAGTGAATTCACTGCGTACAACTTGTGTTACTTTTTCTACGCATACAACTCCAAGTAATACTACTCATAAAATAAGTAGTGCATCAGTTGTTCAATCACAACAGCTCCATCATCACAAAGAACAACAATTAACAGGAACATCTTCAACATTCATGAATCCGTTATCGATGATGTACGAGAATATGAATATGAAAAAGGCTATTACAGATACCTACCACCACCATCATCATCATCATCAACTCCACCCCCATCCTTATCATGTTCAACAACATCAACCTCAGACACAAAGACATCACATAAATAGTCCATATTCGAATAGTTTATCAACGTCATTGTCACTCCCAACACAGCCACCATTACTGTCCAGTACTAATTTACACTTAACTCACTTTCAATATCCATTTAGCAGTGGTAAAAATAATGACACTACTACTACTAATAATAATAATAGTAATAATAGCAGCAGTAACACTAATAATAATAATAATGGTCAAACTGATCGAATAAATACTATATGTGATGAATTCCTGCCTTCAGAGTGTAGATCTACAAGTGGAGGTAAGATCTACATTCTAATGTCTTTATGTACATTTTACCTCGCTTATTGAAAAAGTTTTTACTTGTTTATTTTCTACTTATGAATAGTGTTATAAAATTGACTTTGATGATGACAGAGGGCGGTGGTGGTAGAAAGATTTCTGTTATATCTTACCAATAGTAGTAGAATATGAAGTATCAGATTTACACAACGGCTGATACAGTAGACTATTGATTGAAAGAATCATGGCTTTGTAGAAAATCATTTTGAAATTCTGATTCCTAGGCTTCCAATGTTCAACTTTCAAACAGTGACTTCTTAGTCCGAGTTCCACTCCGCCTACTTTAAGCTTATACAATGTGACTTACAGTTCGATGGGAAAGCTTGTACCGAACAAACGTATATTTATCACTGTTATTATTATCTACAAAGTATGTAAGCAGTGCTGATTTCGTTCTAATGATTCTTTTAGATGATTTGAGTTTGTATCCAGTAGGTTTTCGGAAGTTTTACAGTTTCTAGACTCACTACTGTGAAATATACTGTTAATTACCAGCATAGTCATGCTTCAGTATTGAAGTTTGTGGGGAGTTACTTATTTACTGATTTTAGGGCCCTACTCATCATGGATTGACATCAGTTGGAGAAACAGTAGACACCTAGCGGCATTGGATGGTTGTTTCGTTCTAGTATGGGACTCTTCAGCAGTGTGCATCCGTGATCCCACCAGAGATAGAACTTTGGGACCTCAGGTTCTGCAGCCAGTATGTTGTCGGTGAGCTACTGGATTAGAGTTCAACGGTCTACAGTTTCCTACTTCCATCAGTTCATGATATAGTTGTGTTTGTAGTATCCGTAGCGGTTGTATTATGATGGTGAGCTGCGGAATAACATCTCTTCGGTAAAAAATTCTGCATAAATTTCTCCTTTTTAGGAGGAGGTGTTATGCGTTCCTTCCATGTAGTTGGTAACCAAGTCTATATGCCTAAAACCTATTAGTCTATCATAAGCAATTTGATGCTACATTGTAAAGAAAGGTTGGTTATTAGCCAATAATGAACTATTGCTAAATAAGTTGAACTGATAGTGATGAGTATCGTGTACTGTATTCCTTAGAACTAAGCATGATCAGCCATTACGTTAGGTAAATGAAAATTAAGCCATTCTTTGTTTTATATTGGAGGTATTTAAGAAAAAGCTACTCACCTAGGTTGTAGACTTACTAGAACTCTTGAATGATGTGCATCCTCAAGTGTGTAAGGATTGAATCTCTCAGAGGAACGTAGATGAACGTTTCCAAGTTGTCATCCAAGATCTTATTTACTTTTAAACGATTAGGTTTTATCAGCTTGAAGGGATTCAAAGTTTCCTTGAAGTTGTAGATATATCTTCTTGATGACTATCAATAAGTGTGAAATTCTGGATTCAACACTTTCTACTAATTATGTCCAACCAACCAATATTTTCATTTGAGGATGTAAAATATTGTTCTCGCTAATAGCCAATCATAAAGATGCTCGTTACTAACAGTCTCAGTTTCAAGGAATACGCGAGACACAGAACAAAGTTTTTGGAAGTATATTTCAAGATATATATATATTAAATTTGATTGCTGAAGGATAACACTGGAATCCAGGAATTGCATTTCATTTTGTTTAAGACGCATGGGTCTATATCCTAGTGGATAAAGCCATTTTGTTTGAAATGACACAAACTGCGTTCGAGTCTCAGTGAGGACACCATCGCTTGCTGACGCGTCCCTATTGGAACGAAACACATCCTGGATTCCACTTCTAGCCGCCACTAATCAAATAATATCATTATCAATCTTCAGGTATTTATTCTTTGCCTTAACTGATCAATGTTCATCGACAAAAGAATTTCATTTATGAATGTCTTGATGCATTCTTGAAGGTAAAATATGAACCTCATTGATCTCGGCACGACTTGAAACCTATAGACCACGGGTTACAACCCACCTCACCCTATTCAGAATGTGTACTCACTGGTATGCAGACAGATTCGACTGAAGACTTCTAAACAGGACGAAATGCATGCTTGGATTCCACTGGTATCTAGTATCAATTGAAGAACTATCGAAAACTTGGGAGTACTGGATATCGTTAAGTTCTAGTGAGAAGCCGTCACCTGTTGGGTCAACCAGGTCGTACGTGAATGTCAAATGGTGGATAGTTACACCATATCGCGAATTCACACAAGTAAAAAACTATGAGTCATTGGAATCCGACCTAGTAGCTGAATGGCGAGTGGGTTCAATGTGAGACTTGGATGTCCTGATTTGAATCCCTGATGGTATAATGTATGCGTACTGTTGAGGAGTCCTATACTAGGACGAAACAATTGTTCATTGCTTTTAGGTTCTCAGCAGTTCTTCAGCTGATGTCAATCCTTGATGAACACTACCTTAAAGATAATTTCTTTGTTTGATATCCTCAGATGTTTACTTAACAAATTAATGATTTGATTGTTTTTCAGCATAAATCAAGTTTTTGTATTTCCTTTTAGTTTTCAATCACATACTAATTTAGGAGTGATGGATAGATTTCTTAAGAATCACTTCTTTAAGGAGTGCTCATAATTGATTCGCTTCAATAGTGATTTCCAAAATATTTTAATTTATATTAGGTAATAAGGATGAATTTTTCACCAGTGATATTTCCAAGCAATTGGATAATGTAAGACATTAAGTTTCAACTGAATGATGAAATAATTAACAAGTCATCTCAAGATTTGAAGATCTCAGACTTGATGTTTTTTAAGTTCCTTGGCTTCACATTGCTCAAAAGTCTTTCGGTAAGATAAAACAGCTACCAAAGGACCTTTTATTCTTTAGTAGTTCCTTAACTAATATCGTGTCTCGATGACGACTATCTTGAAATATCAATCACTTCTATAGGAAATGCCTAAATGAATAGCTATACCAAAAAGTAAATGCTATCAACATATTCATTGAAGGTGAATGTTCAAAGAACAATCTTCGTTTAACATCATGTTATAGTTCTTTTTCCCACTACTCTTTTCATAATTCCTAAGCATCTTGGACATTGAATTCCAAAGCGAAACCCAGTGATGTTATCTAATCATCCATCAGTCAACATTTATTAGGCATATAACACTTTGTAATGTTTAAAGGTTGTTTTCATGATGAATCGATATCAATTGGATGATATAAACTACCTTGATTCCCTGTAGACCTCCAATTTTCTTGGTATTTGCTTTAAAAATCAGACTAACAACGGGTAGAGTATCAAGACGGAACTTAAATTTACATTGTTATAACAATAATATATTCGACATAACAACTTGTTATTTGCTGTTTTTGATTGGTTTGAATAGAATTGACCAGTTCCTGGACAAACAAGTTGATGTAACTGATGGATCCTAAATGGAACGAAACACCTGGATCCCATTTCCTAGTTAGTTATCATGCTTACTATCAAAATGATACAACGGTGCAAATATTTTACCTCAATGATATATATAAATATTAATGTGTACAGAGTATTTGAGCATTAGAATATGTATACTATGGTGGATATTCGTTGAGTTTAACGCTGAAAACCTGAATCTCATATTTGATCAACTTACTCATATATCAGTTAAAATTGTCTGATATGTTTTTATCTACAACTGATCATTCTCGCATATTTCTGTCTCATTTCCATGACTTGGGATTTACTTGAGAAAATGAAACAGCCTCAGAAAGATAGTTAGGCAACAGTCAGATAAACTTCTGATTAGTTGGGTGTATTTGTAATCTTGTCAATAAATAAGTCGTGTAGTTAAATGGTTAAGTACTGGATCGATAACTAATGATTCGAAATTCTTTCAGCTTCATTTGTCATCATTATTATTGTCATCTTCATCACCATCTTAAACTAAGATTAACCGACCAATCCAAGGCTTATCTAAAATAGTCATCCCAACAAATGTGATATATTGGATTTTGATGAGAAGTTCTGGCTGGGTAGCTAGTTTGAATGTAATCAAGCTATAGTAACATATCACAAATTCACATAGTAACCAAGAAAACCTTTGGTCATCGAAACGAAATTGATATCTGGTTAGCAGCTAAGTTTTGTGGTGGAGTACTGAGCTGGTAACTCAGGGATCACTGGTTCGAACTGAAAAAGAAGCACTGAGTGAAGCAACCGTCAGCATCTACCACCTCCTCAGGCCTGACACTGAATGTAGTACATTCCTATCTAATTTTCTTGACTATATAGGTTTTTATACAATAAGTATTGCAATCATTATCTTTCTTAGCTATAACTTCAACATTATAGTCCAAAGCATTTCAATCAGGAGAGCTACAAAGCTAAGATACTCGCTTAGTGAATTCTTAAAGGTTCTCAGTCAATCATTACTGAACTTTGTTCGACGTATAATTGAGTGGTGAATTTTGTTACCATACAGATCAACTTTTTTTTACACAGTCTTCAACATCTTTAAATGGCTTTCTCAGTTCAACCTGAAGATGTCTGTAATGATGACAAGTGGTACAACATCATCCTCAATTGAGATATCTAAAAACTGTCACAGTTCTGAGGAAACCAGTTTTTTTGACACTGAAGTCCTTCTTTTGATTGTAGTTTAGCCGTCTGTCTTTGTTAATGTTATGTAGTGGGCTGTGATAAGAATCCTTCCTTGAACAAAGAACCAACTAGTCATTGGTTCAACAATGTGTTACTTCGTTCAAAAGTCTTTGCCTTCAGCCTCGTTTTTAGAAGATGGCATTCCGGAAGCCATCATTCATAGTCTGTTTTATACTCAAAGCTGAAACATTTATTCTTTGTTTTGAAGTTCTCATTCTTCTACTAAGGCGTTACTTAACTTTCATTTATGGTGGCTGTATGGTTTCTGATATGAGAAAGGAATCATAACACCTCCTTTGTTCTATCCTACAAATTATAGCTTCTTAGTCTTTTCCATAGCCGTTCATTTCATACCTTATTCCTGTCACTGCATTCAAAGAATATTGGTTAGGTGTTATAAAAGAGGAATCTCAATTGTTTACTGATACTTGTAATTCTCCGTTTCTTTACTGGGTTGAGTAACTCGACTCCTGATCGGCGATGGGCTTCTATGCGGAGGCTTCGACACTGCCTGAATATTCATTATGTTGTAGCTTACTTGGTGGTGGGCAATAGTGAAATCAAGGACATGTGTTTTGTCTTGCTTGGTACTGCTAACTGATTGTACTTGTACCCCTGTGAGTGGAGGTGTTCCCATTCAGACTCAAAACTCCATGGCCATCGCTTCAAACCCCAAAACGTTATCCACTAGGCCACTAAGTTACGGCAGCCATCTCCTATGTAATGCGTATCAGTTGTTGTTTATTGTTACTTCCAGTTTCCCAATGGTATAACTGGTTGAATCAATAAACAGTAACTGACATTGGTTGTGTACTGCACTTGAGTCTCACTAGGAACACCATCACTTACTGGGATGTAGATACATCCAGCTGACGAGTTCCAAATAGGAAGAAACGTGCGTCCTAGATTCCTCTCCTAACCATAACCAAGTAAATTATGAGAAATAAAGAAACTTAATTGCTTTGTTTGAAGTTTTCAGGGAGGGAAATTTTGATTAGATATTTACAGTCGATGAAAAGGAAGTTCCTATTCTAAATAGGCTTCGTGTGTATTGGTTTTCATCAGTAAATCGTATCTACTGTCAAAAAAAAGCTCGATGTTCCTTAGGAGGTTTGAACTTGTGGCAATTATTTGGTGATTGTGAGACTTTAGTGATCAGTTACTCAGATCATTATTCACGTCCTCTGAAAGTGAGGTAAACACACAGAATGGACACTGGGTCGTTTGTTTTAATCTTCATCGCTGTTGATCACTTGTTTAAGGGAGGCTTCTAAGTTAGATAACATTACACTGGTCAGTCAACAGTTTCGTCCAACCAAATAAGGCAAATTTGGGTCTCTCACGGGGGTATGAATCTGATGTGGGACCAGATGTAGCACATATGGTGCCAAACGTTGAGCCACCGTATTAGTTGGGCCACAATCAGTCCACTGAGGCAGAATGGAGGGTTAAGATCCTGTACGTTGGATCAGATGTCGGATCATTTGTAAAAGTATGAACCCAGACATAGAGCCAAAACCGTCTAGCCAAGCGTAGAGAAAATGTTGCAAAATCCGGTGTCAGGCCCTACATTTGGTTCGATATTTTCTATAACTAGTGGCCCATCACTGCCCTATTTAGCTCGACGAAAATATAGACTGGGCTGTGTTGAAATGAATTTTTGTATACCATGTCACATTACTGAGGCTTATTTAGTTGCATATATAATCTTTCTTACAAAAGTATTTTGTCAAACGGAAAAATATATTTAAAACTAACTAAAATATTTACTTTTCTCCCTTTTTTCTGTTTTTTTTTTATCACTTCATCATTATTTTCCATTGCGATGTTGAATGTATACACACGAACATATACACACATCATATATGCATTCATGTAAACAAATGAATATTTCAACTAGAAGTACGCTCGAGGAAGAAACGTAAACCGTATACACGTTATCAGACTATGGTTTTAGAAAATGAATTTATGGGCAATGCATATATTACAAGACAGAAACGATGGGAGATTTCATGTAAATTACACCTAACAGAAAGACAAGTAAGTTTTGTTCAGTATGTTATGTTCAATTTTCAATATATGATGATCAACTTTTATTGTTTGTGCTACATATTCTGCATTTATTGATGAAGGAATGTTTAATAACGGTTCTCCGTCATGAATTAATATCACCAAGGGAACTACTGAAAACTAGGAAGACATTGAATCACAGTTTCATCCTTTCTTAAGACTTGTCAACTGTAGAGGATCCATGAACCTATCTAGAATTAGACATGAGAATATCAGGTGTCATGGAATACAAAGAATCATATTTTTCATCCATTGGCCTAAGATACATGGTGATTATCTAATTCCCTAGTTGTTTAACTCCCTAGGTCACTAGTCAGTTGTTTACACTCCATTGAATAAACTACCCACCTGAACAGTTCATGTGAAGGTGATTGATTTCAGAGTCATTTTCAAGATGGGAAATATTAGGATCGTTGATCTTATTGCTTTGATAGAAAGTTGTCACATCTTGTGGCTACTAGCAGTCACAATTCCAGTAGCAATCCCTTGGTCATTTTCGATAACTAGAACGACATTGGTCTTTTATCTGTGGGTTTAGCGTAATTTTACTTCACTGTTACTGAATTCAACTAGTCAATTAATTCCTCAACTCTCCTGATTTCCTTACGTGTGTTTGTTGAAATAAAAGCAGAGAGGGTAGATATGTATAAATAGGTAACATCTGTCTTCAAGTTGTACGAAAGTGGGTTACTAACATGTTATTGGAGTTTTGAGTAACAGAGTTTGGTGACTGTTAAAGTTGGAGTCCAGAATATGCGTTTCAATCTAAACTCTTTGAAGACACAGGATAAACAGCTTATCCTTCATTCTACTACTATCAGCTACCCAATAGTCAACATCAAGATAAAACTCTAATCAGTAACTAGACGTCTTTTCAACGAGTCCGTATACCAACAGAAATGGATCAGCTCGCTCTACTAAACTAAACTATAGAAAATAAAAGGTACATAGAAATAGAATCGTCCCTTCATTAAAGAGGATATCCGTATAACCGTTAGTTCATGTCGTATCATATTTTGAGTACTTAGTGATAAATTGATTCTCTTGATAAAAATGTGACCTTTATCGTCAATCACGCTGCATGAAGCTGACAAGGCCACATGCCGTATACCAGCAGTGAATTAATAGTCTTTAGACTGGTTGTTTATACCACATTATATAGGATATATTTCCACATGTAGTTAAAATGAAACTGAAGTTCGTGAAGTTAATCGGATAAATGAGGGAAATATTTCTTCAACTATTCACTCAAGGCCTTCTACTGAATGATATCACATTATAAACTTGAGAGATAGATTCTCATCAGTGTTGAATACTCAAGAGTTGATAACTACATCCGCTAAACAATTCTGCCAACTACTTTATATATATATATATATATATATATATATATATATATATATATATATATATATATATATATATACTCCGGTCTTACTGAGGTCAATTGTGGTTCGAATAGCTTAGTGACATGAACCTGTCTGGGAATATCACTTTCTTCAAGATTGCAGACAGACCTATCTGATGAGTGTAGACAAACACCAAAGCTTACTCTCCAGCTTCCTGCCAACTGAACTTTAACGTTTAACATCACATTGATGTTCTGTGGAAACCAATTCTCAGGAGAATACAAAATTCCTTTAAGGTAATAAATACACGTGATCAATGGAAAGTCAGGTTTACCAGTTGACTCCCTGCAAACATGGAACAATAAACATAGATCTTTGATCAATAATTTATGAATGTACTGACTAAATCTGAAAGAAATCGCCGAGTCGAATGAGCTTAGACTGACCATTTATTTTGTCCAAATGTTTTTTTTTCAAATTCAGGCATAATCTTGAAGTATGTAGGTTAGAATGTATAGACGGGGACAAAGCAGAAATTATCCTAAATCTTTATTAACAGTAAGACTTTTTCTTTAATAGGTTCATTGTTTATCATAACAAATGAAACCAGATAATTTGTGAAATATGCACACAGTGTCCAATAATTGGTAGTTGAAACATTCAACTAACTGAAAATTTTATTTAAACAAGGTTACTTCATCCTAATTAACAGACTAGTGTATTCAATAATGTCATTAGTATGAGAACTATTTCTGATTAGGTTTTATCATAAAGTCAGTATAGTGTAGTGCAGTATAGTATAGTATAGGATATCAGGACGATTCTGAAAGCAAATTGTGTATCAAGTGAATTTAAATGCATAAAAGAAGACAAGTGTAAAGTGTGCTTATTGCTATCATCGTGGAGCAATAAAAATTATGTAGAGAGGAGGTGTGTTGATTTCCCCTTCTTCTTCTTCTTCTTCTTCCTACTACTACTACTACTCACTCACTCACTCACTCACTCACTCACTCACTCACTCACACTACAACACTGTGGTTTTTGAAATGATAGCGAATGCATTCGAATTTTAGTGACAGTACTTTCACACCAGTAGACAGGTATATCTAGCCTACTTTTGGATAAGATACGACTCGCGTCTTGAATATCACTAATATCTATTTGTAAAGTGATGATAATGTCATAAGATAGAAGAAAAAACTTCAGATTGAATCTAGCACTTATTGATGACTGTCTTCGAGAGCAGGTTCCTGAAGTTCCAATGAAAAGTCGTGACCAGGGAGGGAAGCCGAGTGGACGTGAGAACAAATACTCGACGATCATATTAGATGATGATTGCACTATATTGTGAAGTGACGGAAGTGGGAAGCATGGACCATCGGATTCCGACCCAGTGGCTCAATAGTAACGTGTTGGCCATGAAACCTGAATGTCCTGGGTTCGATCCCTGAAGGTATGAGGTTATGGTTGAGCACTTCTGAGGAGTCCCATACTAAGATGCAACAGCTGATCAGTGCCCCCAGTTTTCCAATGTTTCTCCAACTAATATCAGTCCATGGATGAACATCAACTTGAAATCAATAAATCTCTACAAAAGCCCCCAAATTAAAAACTACGAGTTTTACAAACTAACGGACGCCAGTCTTTTCAGTCAAACTAAATATTGTCTATGATTTACAGTTACAATATAGAGTGAATGTTTTTTTATTGTCATTTATTCTGCAAAGAGTTTTAATATCTGCCTGAATAGATGATAAAAATTATCTTGAATAGTAATCATAACAGCTGACAATGAAGGTGGAAACTGAAGCAACAAAACAAGTTACAACTGAATTACAGCCTGTATCTTTCAGACTCCCCCCCCTTCAATTAGGTTGTCTGACAACTCAGTAAAAAATAAGTGGATATTAGTCCGTTATCAACTATTTCGCATAGACTCTGAGAGAGGTATCACAGTTTTTCGATTTAGAGGTTTGTGAGGATTTGTTTATTGATTTCAGGTTGGTTATCATCACAAACTGCTATCATTTAGAGAGACACTGAAAACCTAGATGACCCGTACAGTTGCTTCTCCTCAACAAGTGACTCCTCAGCAGTACATGCACATGACCACTTAGATGCTTATCGGTTGAGAAGTCGCATACTAGAATGAAACAGTTATTCATTGCTTGCATGTTCTCAATAGTCCTCCACCATCAATCTGTGATGAATATCAACTTGATATCACAGTAATAACAGTTCGTGATCCTCAAAATTGACAACAGACGGATATGGTTAGGGTAGACTTGAAGTATACTTTACTAGTTAGGTTTCTTACTTCACTTAGTACATTTCTAAATTCGAGCTGATTAAATTAATTTGACAGGACGGATTTTGGAAGCAAATAACTTGAGCTTGACGACCACACTCTCAGTTTGATTGACAGAATACGATTTTCATCAACGACTAGTCAAGACGATTCTGGTTTAATCTCAGTAACCAATATACTACTAAACAGCTTGAGTAGTTAGGAAAGTAGTCAGGTTGTTCTGTAGTACATCGACCCTTTCGTTCATTTGGAGCTGAGCTCACCAGTGTGGTGTACCCAGACACATTTAACTCAACCTGGGTACCAAGACAGTTTTCAATGGTAGACGCTCACAAGTGTCATGAACTAGCGAAATATACTACCACTGAACAAACTGAGTAGTGGATACCATACAGATCAATAACTAATCAATATTAAAAGCCAGTACAACTTAAATGATCGCCTTTCATTTGCCAATTTTACACTCATAGACATTATCTACTTCATACTGATGACAGATTTTTCTCTTTTTTTTCCTTTATGTATTGTTTATTAATTTTTTTTTGGCTTTTCTATAAACAAGGCGACAGAACTATGAAATATACAATCACAGAGTTATGACGTGGATACTCTTTATGTATCTGTGTTTATGTGCATTATTTAAATTGGAGTAATACTATTCCACCATTCATTTGTAGGACACGTGTAGTCAACCAGACTTTGCGTATTTTTATGACTTTTGGGTGTGTGTGTGTGTGGGGAGGGGGCGCATAGTAACTATGTTCGATCTTTTCTATTACCATTGTTTCAAGTGATTTTAAGTTTGAATTTTTATCGCCTGTACACAGAGACATTCGATTTTTTAAAGATAGAAAATTCTATTTTCAGCTTTATTCAAATTGTACCTTCATTACAGTGTCCTAATCGACTGTATAATCTGTTATAAATATTAGCAGCACTGACGTATGTGTGTGCAATATTCTCCACTCGTTTCATCTACCACTTATCATTTAGATTTCATTTCGTTCACCGAAATCTACCATTATCATTACAGACATTGCCAAGTGGCGTTAATAACAGTTATCAACCTCCTTTCCCAATTCTTATTCATTCAGTTGGAAAAAGTGAATATGTTATGTACATTCAGTTATCTACAAGTTCGGTGTAATGTTAATACAATAAAATATTATCGTTTGTCGTACATAAGTAGAGTAAACAGAAAACACTACAGTATTCATTTCATTGTTTATCATAGACTGACTATATGTTAGTATAGTCAAATAATGCCAACAATAACGTACACAAATCAAACGATCCCAACTTGTTTACTATAT